TGATGCTGCCTGGCCTGCTGTGTTCATCCAGCTCCACACCTTGTTATTCTAATAAATCTCTCTGCACCCTGTCTGTTGCTATCACGTCTCTCATGTGGATTCCAGAACTGCACACAATATTCTAGCTGTGGCCTAACCAATGTTTTGTACAGTTCCAGCATATCCTCCCTGCTCTTAAATTCTATGCCTTAGCTAATAATGTCAAGTATGCCTTCTTAACCACTTCATCTACCTGTACTGCTACTTTAAGGGACCAGTGCACATGCACACCAAGGTCTCTCTGATTCTTGGTGCTTCCCAGGGTCCTACCTTTCATCGTGTATTCCTTTGCCTGGTTTATCCTGCCCAGGTACATCCCTGAGGACTGAATTTCATTTAATAAATCCAGCTGATGCAGTGAATCAAACTGAGCAGCACTTCAGTCAACAATAAAGATGTGCCAGATGGTGAAAAATGTCTCAAGAATGCTGCTCCAAAAGGTGAAATTTTTAAAAATAGCCAAACAGAAAAAGGTAAAAATCGCCAAAAACAAAAATCACCAATTGCCTTGCTGAAAAAAACTTCACATAGTGTTTGTTGTGCACACCATGACATCAACACAATGAGTTGGAGATGCCAGCATGAATGGGAGTTGCAAACCCAAAGCAAATTCATGCAAAATTCATTCATGTTCCCTCAATGGTGCAGAAGTACACCCTAAAATAGATAAGCCTGTTTCTTAAACATATTGTACCCGACACAGAGGAAAAATCTGTTCAATTCTTATATTTTAACATTATGAAGTTCTAGTTTTTCAATTTTTTTTCCTCATTGTGGGTTATTCAATTTTCTCATGAAATTATTCCAGTGCATGCCTAACAAATTTAAGTGGCATGACTTGCACACTCGAATCACATCTGGAGCACCACATGTAGAATAGCTTTAAAGAGCAGGCCCAAGTAGATTCGCTGAACTGATTTTTGACAGAAGGGATTGTTTTTTGGAGGAATTTCTGACTGTAACCGGTGTACATAGTATAACAGCCCAAAACTACAAATGTTCTATAAAATTTCATTTATGGCAGTCTCATTTTTCTTTACATAAACTTCTTGTTTAAAGTAATTAGCAGCTACTACTTCCATCAGTACATTTTACTGCAATAGATTCCAGTTAGTTTTAGTAATACTACATTTTTCCCAGGTTTCTATTATGCATTAATTCAATTTTAACTTTGCATATCAAGAATATCCCAGCAGTATATTTTAATTTATATTAATTGAAGACTGTTAATAAAACATATCAATTAACAGAGAATCAACTCTCAATATTGAATATTTTAATGGTTGTGGTAAAACATCCATACTAACCGGATCTGAAAACCATCTGTTGGGAATATTTGGTCTTTGTTGATCCAAACAAATCACTTTTTTCATATCATCAAAACCAGGATCATTAGGAACAAGGTCATAAAATGGAGGTTTATAATCTTCAACAATACCTAAATAAAAACAATATTTGATTAGAGAATTAAAGATGCATATTAAGATGCAAACGCTGCTGATCTAGCATTTCAATCTCCAAACACCATTTTTTGTTAAAAAGCAAGAATCAGATCAGGCAACTAATTTTAGAATAGGTCTACAAACTTATCCAGTTTCCCTGGATGTTAAAGTCTTCTGGCTGTCCACAGGGAAATTCACCTCCGCAACCGTTTCAAATATTGTAAACATTGAATTATTTGTCAATATTTGTGAAACAAATGTACAATGGACAGTATTTAGATGTCTGAATTTAATGATTTGAAAGTGAAACCAGAAACACACTGAACACAAAAATCACTCATTTGGTTCTAAAATTAATATTACAGGTCTATCCAACAAGAACTTCTAAAATAAAAATCAATATATTGTGAATCCTGGAAATCTGAAACAAACAGAATGCTGGAGAAACTCAGCAAGTTTGGCAGCATTTGTGGAGTGAGAAACAGAATTAACCTTGTGAGTCCAATATTGGTCTTCTTCAGAACTAAGGATGGAGGACTTTTAAAAACCCATGCAAAAATCTGGAAAACTGCGGAAACTAAATATACAATGTTTTAGCTAAGTTAAGGTCATAATCCAGGCTCTCTCAGAAAAATCACTGAATTGAGCTGCTGATGGGTTCTCACGACTCTTACACCATAACCCTATGCAATTCTGTACGTTACGGATGAGAAAACCAGTCTAACTGGTGATGAATCAAGGCAGGAAAACGCCAATTAAAAAAAACACGAGCTGGGGAAGATGGCACATGATCCTTGTGTGCCAGGAAAAATATGACAAAAAGAATATGAGATAAATCCAATGCAAAATAAATTATAATATTTGAAACTAACTCCCTACTGACCAGAGAGCCAAAGCACAAAATCGCACCTTATTTAGGTCTAATTGACAATAACAGTTGGAAAGCCCATAAGAATGAATGGCATGAAGTAAAAATGTCATCCTAGTTGGAGCTGTGCAGGGTGCTCTTTAGGTATTGGGGATAAAAAATAAAATGGAAATGAGGTATCTTTACTTTGAGTTCTTAAGGAGGGTCATTGGACTCAAAACATCAGTTTTGTTTCTCTCTCCCACAGGTGCTGCCAGACTTGCCGAGTTTCTGCAACAATTTCTGTTTTTATTTCTTTAGTCTGTAGCTGGCAACCTGCTTAGACGATGCTTAATGCTGGTATTAGGTGCTTGAAAAGAAGTACCTCTGTGCGAACATGGCTTACCCTGAGAAGTACAAAGATTTATCAAAATACATGACATTCTATAATTGGAACCAAGAACCATGTAGTTGATAAATATTCCAATCATCACATTTATTTATACAATTTATTTCTTCAATCTAAGCAATAATATGGTGAACCACATCACCTTTCCCTAATGGGCAGATCTTTATTTTGTCATTAGCACCTACTATGGATATACACCTTGTCTTCTGTACGCCCATTAATCCTCCCGTTGTTTTGTTTGTTCTATGATGCTTTGATCTCCAATCTTTCACTTTACCCTCACGCGCCCTCTGTTCCACTCCACCCACCTTTTCCAATAACGTAAAACCCATACCTTCTATATTTCTCTATTTCCAAAGTTAACAACAGTCAACAAATTCATCCAGGAAAAGAGCCCTCAGGTTAATAGATAATGGTATTCTAAACCATGATGCTTCACTGCTACAATAAGAAAATCTTCAAACTGGATTGGAGAATACTATTTCAAAAACAAAGGACAATGGCAGCACAGAGTTAGCAGTTTGCTTCTGAATGTGCATCTAATGGCAAAATCTCCTTTCATTAATACGAATCATTAACAAGGCAGTTCTTGTCAGATTAGAATAACTAACACATCTGGGGAGAATGCAAGCGTGTACAAGGTTCACCATCCACTATGTTTCCCATAAACCTTGGTGGCATGATGTAGCCAGTGGGTAAATTGTGTATGCCCAAGTGATGCAACATGTGATGTAATATCTAATTCCAGAGATTCTGACAGATCAAATTTTCAGCAAATTATTCTCTGCTCCACTTCAACTCAGGCAATAATCAAACAATAATAATTGGTTTTACCACAAGCAAAATGATTATGTTGTGCATATTTCCAAAGCATGGTCCATGTATCATAATGGTTGAAAATGCAAATATATACAATAGGTTCTTCCTTCTGCACAATGGTAGATTAAAGACCAATTTTAAAACATAAATGACAGAACTTCAGCAAGGAAAAGTCTGTCAAATCACAGAAGTGTTTTGTGGCCAGTAGTTTCTGGGAATTCTATTAAGTATAAATCTTAACATTAACTTAAATTATAAATAGAACAGCAGGTAAACCAACACAAGTCAGACATGCTATTTGCTAATTATTGTATGTAAAATAAAAAGTCTGGAAAAGTCACTGTGCCCAATGAATTCTGAGAAATGTATGAAGTATAGAGCTTTTTTTTAAGTAAAATGGTAAACAGAACAGCAGTTTTCTCTGAAATGACATTGCCTAATGCATCAGAGTTTAAACAAAGTAATAGAGACGGTACATACAGGGGATTTGGACAGAGGAAATGCAATCCATAGCTAATGCTCGAACAATGGTTGTGCTACTGAAAATAAACACTCGACACCTGCTATTTCTGTGAACACTTAAAAATCACCTTCACCTTACGGATTGCTTTTAAAATAATTGGAACATATTACTTCAATTAGGTAAGATAAAAACAGATTTTCTCACATGGCCAATTTACATAAGCAGCAGCTCTGAGCATTATTAACATTTTGAGTAAAATCTTTTTTTATTATGATGAGGTTTAAGGTACAATCTGCAAGACCATCAATCACGGCCTCTATAAACATTACACAACCTATGTTATGTATGAATGATGGTTGCTGGGTGATAATTTTAAACTTCTCCTTCACTGACCTTGGGAGGGAAAAAATTCAAGTATGTACCATTTCAACATGATTATTGTTACTTTAGAGAATCTTGGCGTTGTTTCTTAAAAATGCAAAGAGCTTTCCATATCAATGGGATCAAAGGCTTTGATATTTACGCAATCCATAAAACCACAGGAAATAGGAACAGGAATAGGCTGTTCAACCCCTTGAGCCTGCTCCCCTATTCAGCAGGACCGTGGCCAGATCGAACACCCTTCACATCCATTTTCCTGCCCTTTCTCCATAACGCTTGAGTCCCTGACTGATTAAGAATCTATATATCTCAGCCATAAATATATGCAAAGATTCTGCTTCCACAGCTCTCCGAAGAAAGGAGTTCCAAAGACTTTTAAACTGGTGTCCCTTAATCCTGAAGCTATGCCCTCTTGTCCTAGTCTCTCTCATGAAGGGAAACATCCTCTCAGCATTTACTCTGTCAAGCTCCTTAAGAATCCTATTTGTTTCAATAAGATCACCTCTCACTCTTCTAAAATCCAATCAGTAGAGTCCCTACCTATTTAACCTTTGCTCAGAAGACAATCTCTCCACACCAAGATCATCCTAGTCAACATTCTCTGAACTGCTTCCAATGAAGTAATTTTTTTTCTTAAATAAGGGGACTAAAATGCCCACAATACTCAAATGTGGTCTCACTAGCACCTGTACAGTTGCAGTAAGACTTTCCTATTTTAATACTCTGACCCTTGTGAAATAAGGCTCCACATTCCATTAGCCTTCCTGATTACCTTTTGCATCTGTGTGCTAGCTTTCTGTATTTCATGCAAAAATATCCCCAAGTCTCTTTGTGTTGTAGTTTTCAGTGATAGTATTCTCACAGTTGTTACAGTCAATGAAACCATGCAAGCACTCACCATTGCTAATTGTTCTCCTTGCTACTTCCCACAAGACTAGACCAAAGGCCCAGATGTCCACCCTCCTATAGGAATCAAACAGATTCACTTGAATTGTTTCATCCAATATTTCAGGTGCCATATATCGCTTGGTCCCTACCCTGGGATTATTGCCAACATCCAAATGATTAGTACACTGGGAATGCATCACAGCAAGACCTGAAAAACAAATGCAAAACAAGTTACAACAAAATTTTGCAGAATACCATGAGGGATCAGAACAATGGGTCAATTAACTCAACAGTTCACTTAAAATTATTCTGAAGCAGCTTTCACTTTTCATCCTTCACCACTATTTTGCAGATAAGCCAACTGAACATCTGAACAACACTGTAACAATGGTTTCAGACGTCGATATGCATTTTCTGCAGTCATTCTCACGTATTTTATTGAATTGGATTAGCTTTATTGTCATGTGTACTCAAACGAGTACAGTGAAAAGTTGATAAGTCACCACTTACAGCACCATCTTAGGTACAAAGGTATAAACCTTAGTTACGGAATAGAGAAGTGAAGAAAAAAAGTTACATTACAGCTAAAAGCAATATAATCATTAGTCAGAAAAACAAGAAGTTAAAAAGACAAATAGACAGTGTCTCTCCAAGGGCTTTCAACAGCAGACCAGCACAGGGGGCCTCCACATGGTCTAACCACTGGCTGCCACCACCATGCACCGCACAGGGCGACTGGCATCATCGCTTTGGGCCGCCTACCACCGCCCCTGCTTTGGAGGCCAGGGCCGCGTATCCAAGGTCTTGAGAAGGGAGGTAAAGAGGAAGAAAAAGAATGGGTACAGCAGATGAACACCAGCTGCAGGTCCTACTTTGCTGCCACCTTACCAGAAGAACACAGCATGGTTGCAATACTACTATACTTTATTCATAGCTAGAGAGTGAAGGACTGCTTGGAAGAGGGGAATGGAGCACAGCAAGGACACGTAGTACTGGGTAATGAAGCAAATCAAGAAGGAAATCTGAAAGTAGCGGGCACTCTCTAACGTTACTCCTTTTCTAAAAGAACCAGCGATAAGACTGTAAATTAACACAGTCTGTAAGACATCTGGGGAAATACCAAGAACTGGACTGGGATCTGTCCCTCACTCAAAAGACACTCAGTGGCTGATCATGGGATCGAACATCATCAGGATGGGAGTCACCCACTCAGAACCACCTCTGCCCATTATGCCAATCTCCATCACTGGTAATCATAACCCATAAACCTCCTTTTACCTTTACTCACAAAGAGCCTGGGTCCCTCTGTGATCCTGGGCCTCAGGTGGGTACATTAACGGCCATTGTCTCCCTAATGATGTTTGGATCCGAGGAAGGCCTACACCTCCCCAGTTAAGGGGATGGCTTCCTCTGTCCTCTTCGTCATGGCAATTTAATCTTTCAACTTTGCATTCAAGTGAAAATGCTAATTAGCTTTGATACCAAAACTCCTAGAATTGGACAGGTTAGTGCATAGCTCAGACATGTCTTTGTTCCATTAGTTTCCCTGGTAATTTTCTCTATTAATAACTTGTTTTTGTCATCTTTTCCTCTCTACCCATTCATTTTCTAATATTGTGATGCATTGTGTATGCAAAATATTTGTTCAAAGCCTCTACTTCTTTATTTTCCATTATTGATTCCGCAGTTTCACACTCTGAAAGACGAACACTCATGTTAACTGACCTCTTCCTTTTAATATATGTTGAGAAGCTTTTGCTGTTTCTTTACTTGCTAGCTTCTTTTCATATTGTAATTTCTCCCTATAAAATTCATCCTGTGCTTGTTTCTAAAATTGACTCAATCTTCAAGCCCACCATTAATTTTCTTTGCATTGTGCACCTTTGCTTTCACTTTGGTACTATTCTTAAATTGCTTAGTTAACCACAGATATGGAAACTTTTTTGTAGGGTCTTCCTTTCTTAATAAAATAGATCCTTGTTGGGCTTTGCAAATCTTCCTAAGGTATCTATCACTGCTTCTCTGCCTTACCTTTTAAATGCATTTCCATGACCTCTTTAACCAACTCAGTTCAAGAGCCTCGATTATTTTGCATCGAAATTGATTTGGAGGAGGGATCAGACTGCAATGTGTCTGAAATGGCTGATGATGCAAGAGTAGGTGGGAGGGCATGTTGTGATGAAGACGTAAGAAATCTGCACAGGCCGAGTGAGTGGGCAAAAGCTTGGCAGATGGAGGTTAATACAGCAAAGTGTGAGGTCATGCACTTTCTTAGATGAATTATTTAAATTATTATTTAAATGAAGAGAAATTCCAAAAAATTACAGCACAGAGGGATCTGGGTATTTTGATGCAACAAGTAATTAAGAAGGAAAGTGGAATTCTGGCCATTATTGTTAGGGGATTAGGGTTTAAAAATACTAAAGTCTTGTTACAACTGTACAGCATGTTAGTGAGGCCACAACTGGAGTACTGTGTAAAGTTCTTGTCCCCATTTTTAAGATCATCATCGGCAATCACTCTCTAATGAGTATGATTGTCCACCTAGGAAATTCCATGTCACTGGTCATAGGTTCCATGAGTCCTTGTGCAGCTGATGAGCCTGATCCTACAGCCACATCTCCGGACACCCTTTTAGCAGGTGTTTGTGAGGTGGAATTGATCCTTAGCCTTGAGATCGTTGGCATTCCTTTGCGGTTCCTTATCTATACTTCCTGTTGCTGACTGGTGTTCTCAAAGAATTGTGTTCCTTCTCACAGGAGTTTCTTCCAAGTTGGTTGCTTCTGAATGAGGATCTCCCATATGTTAATGTTGCATTTCTTGAGGGAGTCTCTGAAATGCTTCCTCTGTGTTCCTGTCATTAGAGTGTGCCTTCCCTGAGTTGGGCAAAGATGATATGTGTGTTGATTTGTAACAGCATTCCCATGTTAAAGGATATCCTACACAAGGCATCTACCTTGACGAATTTAACCTCCCCTACCCCACACACACAAAAAAAAACAAGCTCTGTGGCAAGAGGTGACAGTCATAGGACTGAGAGATCTGGAAGGCTCTAGCTTCAGACTGGCACATAGGCGGTGGAGTTTGACTCAGTTGTTTCGTTCTTGGAGTAGAAACAGCAGGGTGTTTCAGCAGCTTTCTTCATGACTGAGCAGCTCTCTTCAGGATCCGCTCTGCCCACCTCACACAGGGAAGGGGCTAGAAAAGGTATCCTAACATTAGTCTGTTCCATCACCAACCCGGCTGGAAAACCATATCCAATGGGCTCATCTACCTGTTGTCTGAAAATCAAAGTGAAGCTCAGTCTTGGAGCCTACAATATATGAACCCTATGAACAATGAGCAAAACAATCATCCAGGTGAATAACTGCCCCTGGTTGCCTGTGAACTCAGGCACTTCAACATCGAGTCTCCGGGAGGGTAGTGATCTCAAAGAGCAGGCAAAGGACAGCTGAGGGAAGAAGGTAGTGGTTAAACCTTCTTCTGGAGAGGAAAACCCACAGATGCATGGAATTGGATTCGCTATCAAGAACAAACTCAATAACCGACTCTCGGAGCTCCTGTTGGCATCAGCGATCACCTCATGACTCTCCATCTACAACTTGCCAAGAAGTAGCAGGCAACAGTCATGAGTGCCTATGCTCCAGCCCTTAATACCATAGAGTCCAAAAAAGACTCCTACTCCACCCTGGACAGCATACTTACCAACATCTCCAAGGAAGATAAACATAAGATGTATTGGTATCGGAAGCTGTTCAAAAGAGATTCACTACCAACTCCTGGGATGAAGGTGTTGACTTACCCAGAACGGCTAGAAGGTTAGTCCTTTATCCATTAGAGTTTACAAAAATGAGGGATAGCCTTATTGAAACACAAGATTTTGAAAGGGCTTGACAGGGTAGATGTTGAGTTGGAATTTCCACTAGTGGGGGAAATCTCAAACTAAAGGACATAGCAACAAAATAAGGGGCATTTACTTAAAACTGAGATGTGATGCAATTTATTTACCCAGAGTGTAGTGACTCTATAGGTTTCTCAACCCCAATGTGTTGTAGAGGTTGGATCATTGAAAGTATTTCAAGAGGAGGGAGATGGATTTTTAAAATAATCAAGGAGTTGGATGCAATGAGGAACTGGCATGAAAGAGGAGTTGAGGCCTGGAACAGATGAGCAATGATCTTATCGAATGACAGAGCAGGTTTGAGGGGATGAATGTCCTCCTCCCTCTCCTATTTCTTATGTCTCTATCTTCATACCTTTATAACTTGCCTTTATTTAAGTTTAAATCACTAGTTTCAGACCACATTTCTTACCCTAAAACTGAATGTGTACTTATTGTATGCTCCCTCTTGCTTAGAGGATGCCTTTCTTGGAAGTAATTAAACAATAGTTTCTCATGGCATATTACCAGCACTGAAATATCCATTAGTAGAACTTCCTATTGATATTCCAGACCAGGATTAAAACATATGAACATATTGACAAAAATTAAAATCAGCTGCAACCCAAGAAAGAATAAATCCTATATTCCAGAAGTACTTAATTCGTTCTAAAGTACTTTGTGCTGCTTTTACATTATGTAAAAGACTATAGGAAAGCTAATCTTTTCATGAAACAAAATGCATCTCAATCTCAAGCAACAGCCCATGCCTTTGGTGAAATTTAAAATTCGTGAAATCTGTCTTTGAAAGGTAGTGTCAATATGATGGCCATAAAACTACCATTGATTGGTGTCAAACCCATGCAGTTTACCAATGTGTATTCATGAAAGAAATCTGCCATCCTTACTTGGTCTGGCCAGTAGGTAACTCCAGATTCAAAGCAATGTGGTTTACTCCTGACTACCTGCAAGCCAGTCAGTTCAAGAGTATTTCAAGGTGGGCAAAAAATGATGGCCTTTGCCAGACAGACTCATTTCCCATGAGAGAATAAACAAAAGAACATTTTTGGTTTAGAAACAAACATTCCAAGCCCATTAATCTTAAAACTGTATCAGCACATTTATTTTAAATTGGTTAGCAACACAAATCGCTGTGGCTTAAACCTCACTGAAGACAGGATTGACAGCAAGAGCCTTCACAGTATACCAGAAGAAGAAGTACTTACCTAAATCTGCAATGCAGCACTGTCCATTCTCCTTAACAAGGATGTTTTTGCTTTTAAGATCTCGATGTGCAATTGCAACTTTCCCCTGTGTCCCAATGATTTCTGTATGCAAGTGCGTTAGACCACTAGCAGTAGACAATGATAATCGTAAGCATCCTACAGTGTCCAGAGTTGTGTGCTGTAGGTAGTCATAGAGTGATCCTGCCTCATGATAATGGGTAATCAGCCATAGCTGCGTGCTGGAATTTCTGGATGTCATGTCAGAGGCAATAAAACCTACAGGGGAAAGAAACAAAATGTATAATTTATAACTTTCGTAAGTATTGAACGATGTTCCACAATAATTTTGAATACTATATTAAGCTGGTTTTATATGTTAAATAAATGCCACTTACACCTCTAATTACTTTAAAAGTATTATTATTTAACAAAGTACAAATAAAACTATTTCCATGAGGATTCAACAATGAAAGGAGGGAAGGGGATTGTGTTAAGTTTAAGGAGCTATGGAGTGAGTTAATATAGAAACATAGCAGCAGTGTAGACCATTCGGCCCTTTGAGCCTGCTCTGCCATTCAATGTTACCATGGGTTATCATCCAACTCAGTACCCTGTTTTACTTTCTCCCCATACCTTGATCCCTTCTGCACTAAGAACTATATTTAACTCCTTCTTGAAAACATTCAATATTTTGGCCTTGATCATTTTCTGTGGCAGAAAATTCCACAGGCTCACCACTCTCTGGGCGCAGAAATTTCTCCTCATCTCAGTCCTTAACAGCCTACCCCATAATATGCAGAAATTAAAATGTAGTAGTCTCTGAATTACACTCTCTAACAAGAGGTATAATGGGAGGATATAGGAGATTGATGTTTGGCTACAGATATAGTGCAAAAGAGACAGCCTCAAATTCCTAGGACAATAGGACCACTTCTGTGGGAAGAGGACCCTGTTCAAGATGGAGAGACTGTACCTGAATAGAGTTGGCACTGATATCCTTGGCAGGTGGATAGTGTGTTACAAAGAAGACATAAGGTATACGAAGGGTTGGCAGAGACAATTAGAGTTACAAAAAACTCAAAATTAGATCAGATCATTAAAAATTCAAAAGGAGGACAAAGTCTGGTTTGGAATGCATGTGTAAATGCAAAATGTGGTTAGTACCATTGGTGAGCTGCAGTTGCAAATAACCAGGTGGGAACATGGGGAAGCGACAATAAGTGAGAGTCGGCTTCAAACATAAAGTGGAAGATTTGACATTTCATGGCTCAGATACTCAGCAAAGACTGAGAAAGGGCAAGCATGAGGAGATGGTAGCAGTTTTGATTCAGGTATATATTAGTGCGAGAAAGAATGTCCTCGAGGATCATTGATAAAAACCTCTCTCATTGGAGTTTAAATAAATTGCAGGAAATTCTGCACCGGGTAACTCACCTCTTGTCTCTCCAGTACCTGACCACAATCTACAAGGCATAAGTCAGGAGTGTAATGGAATACTCTCAACTTGCCTGGATGGGTACAGCTCCACCATTACTGAAGAAGCTTAACACCATAGAAGACAAAGCAGCTAGCTTGATTGGCATCACATCACCATGTTCAATATTCATTGGTGAGAGCTCGATTCCGGCAGAGTTTTTTTACTCGAAGCAGCAATGTTGTCTCTCATAACATAAGAAACTGGGTGTGTACATCGCGGTATTGAAGAATCCAACGAGCATTTATTACAGCTACCTACTATGTATAAACATTACATTCTTCAAACACATACATGTCTGGGATAACATTAAGCTCTGAGGTTACGAGCAACAAAGTGCTTCCAGTAGAATGTTAGGCCTCAAGTAATCAGAGGGAAGGTGGAGTATGAGATCTTTGTAGGATTGAGCAATTTTTCAACAATTAATCATTTTGATTTGGTTAAGCTGGTGAGGAATTAAATTACATTCTGTATCAGTGGGATTAGTTACAAACACTTTTTGTAAGGAAGAAAACCATTAACTTCAGGTGAAAACTACGGTCATTGGTTTATGATTTCATTGTTTTATGGCTGTTAGTGTAAACTTAGGCCAATACACAAGAGAATGCTCGGTGGCAAAGGGATTTTAGACACGACACAGCTCTTTTTTAAAATATTTTAGTTTTTCAACTTAAAGTATTTAGCAGGTTCCTTGGATAACACAAGAAGCCTGAGTGGTCTTTGGAAAATAGCTAAGGTATATATTTAAAAAACATTTTCCCTTATAAAATGGATCAATGACTAGTGGAACAGGGGGTGGGTGCAGAGATTTATGGTACAATGCAGGAGGTTTGGAGGGGATGGGTATCTGAAACCATAAGCCATAAGGCATAGGAGCAGAAATTAGGCCATTCGGCCCTTCGGGTCTGCTCCACCATTCAAACATAGCTGATATGTTTTTCAACCCCATTCTCCTGCTTTCTCCCCATAATCCTTGATCACCTTGATAATCAAAAACCTATCTATCTCTGTCTTAAATATACTCAATCACCTGGCCTCCATTGCCTTCTGTAGCAATGAGTTTCATAGATTTACCACTCTCTGGCTGAAGAGGTTTCTCCTGATCTCCATTCTAAAAAGTCTTCCCTTTAGTCTCAGACTGTGCCCTCAGGTCCGAGTCACTCCTACCAATGGAAACATCTTCTCAACATCCACTCTATCCAGGCCTTTCAGTATTCTGTAAGTTTCAATTAGATCTCCCCTCATCCTTCTAAACTCGATCAAGTATAGACCCAGAGACCTCAAGCGTTCCTCATATGTTAAGCCTTTCATTCCTGGGATTATTCTCATGAACCTCCTCTTGACCCACTCCAAGGCCCGTACATCCTTCCTGAGGTATTGGGCCCAAAATTACTCACAATACTCCAGATGTGGTTTGACCAGAGCAGAGCAGAGCAAACACACTACCTGAGAAGGGTGGCATAGGCAGAAACCATTACATTGAAGTAGTATTTAGATGATGTGCCGAGTGCAAGAAAATGAGACTAGAATAGATAGATGCTTGATGACTTGAACAGACATGATGGACCAAAGGGCCTCATTCCACACAACAAAACTCTGACTCTATGTCAACCTAGTCAATCCAAAATTGCTTGTGAGCTATTCATACATGAATAAGACAATTAGAGTCTCTGATCATGCAGAGCGGATGGTGATTTGCAAGGGTCATTAAATAAATGATTCTTGGTGGCTTAGCACAGAAAAAAGATTGAAAGACAAGGGGGACTTCAGTCCACAACAAAAAAGAGAACTGTGCTCTGTCTATCCCTTCAAGTATTTTGTAGGTTTCAATGAGATCACCTGTCATTCTTCGAAACTCTAGAAATCATAGGCCCAGTTTGCCCAATCCTTCTTCAAAGGACAGTCCTGCCACCCAGGAACATGTCTTTTGAAATTTCATTGCACTCCCTCTGTGACAATAATATCTTTCTTACAATCAAGGAAACCAAAACTACACACAGTACTTCAGGTGTGATCTAACCAAGCTCCTATACAATTGAAGGAAGGCTTCTCTACTCCTGTACCCTTGCATTCCACTAGCCTTCCTAATAGCTTTTTGGACTTGCATGTTAACCTTCGGTGACTTATTAACAAATACACCCAGGTCCCTTTACACATCTACACTTTCTAACCTGTCACCATTTAAGAAATACTCTGCACATCTGTTTTTCCAACTAAAGTGGATACTTTTACATTTTTCCACATTATATTCCATCTACCATGAAAATGCAAGCTTTCAGAGCTCAGCTTCTTCCTCAGGCGTAGTGTGAAAGAGAGGGTACAAAACACAATTTATAAGCAGAAAGGTAACAACCCTAAAACTCTCAATGAATCTTTAATCAGTTTGGAAGGAGACTACTGATTAAAATGCAAAATCCAGGTTTATTTCAAGTCATTGTCCTGAGATAACTAAAGGTTTTATCGATGTATACGAGAGGTGACATCTCAGGTCAGACAATGCATTTTGTTTGAAGTCTTGCTTAGAATCTATGTTTTAAACTGCCGTCAGGTTTTTTTTGAGCAAAACAGAATGTATTTGCAACTACACAAACATCTTGGATGAAATAATTTGTGTGTGTCAGTGTATGTACCTCTGTGTGTGTGTGTGTGTGTGTGTGTGTGTGTGTATGTGCCTGTGTGTGTGCGTGTGTGTCTCAGCATACGTGCCTGTGCGTGTGTGTGTCAGCGTACGTGCCTGTGCGTGTGTGTGTCAGTGTACGTGCCTGTGTGTGTGTGTGTCAGCGTACGTGCCTGTGCGTGCGTGTGTCTCAGCGTACGTGCCTGTGCGTGTGTGTGTGTGTCAGCGTACGTGCGTGTGCGTGTGTGTGTCAGTGTATGTGCCTGTGCATGTGTGTGATCAGTGTATGTGCCTCTGTGTGTGTGTGTGTCAGTGTATGTGCCTGTGTGTGTGTCAGCGTACATGCCTGTGCGTGTGTGTTTGTGTGTCAGTGTATGTGCATGTGTGTGTGTGTGTATGTGCCTCTGTGCGTGTGCGTGTCAGTGTATGTGCCTGTGTGTGTGTGTGTGTGTCAGTGTATGTGCCTGTGTGTGTGTGCGTGTGTGTGTCAGTGTATGTGCCTGTGTGTGTGTGTGTGTGTCAGTGTGTGTGTGTGTGTGTCAGTGTATGTGCCTGTGTGTGTGTGTGTGGCAGTGTATGTGCCTGTGTGTGTGTGTGTGTGTGTGTGTGTGTCAGTGTATGTGCCTGTGTGTGTGTCAGTGTATGTGCCTCTGTGTGTGTGTGTGTGTACGCACACACGCGCTCGCTTGAGAAAGTGCGAGTGTGAGAGATCACTGAAACAAATTTCATCCCACCAGACTTACCATGGCCTACCCTTTAGTATCAGTCTCATTCTTGGACACACGCACTTCCATCAAGGACAGACACCTCAGTACCTTACTCTACTGCAAACCTACAGATAACTTCATGATGCTGCACTTCTCTAGCTTCCACCCTAAACATATTAAAGAAACTATCCCCTGCAGACAAGCCCTACACGTACACAGGATCTGCTCAAATGAGGGGGACACGTGATGGACACCTGAAGGTGCTCAAAGATGCCCTCATAAGAACAGCATATGATGCTCAACTCATTGATCGCCAATTCTGTCATGCCACAGTGAAAAACCATAATGAGGTCCTCATAAGACAGACACAAGATACGACCAATGGGATACCTTCATTGTTCAGTACTTCTCCAGGGCGGAGAAACTACGTCATGTTCTTCGCAGCCTTCGCCATATTATCAATGACGATGAGCACCTCACCATGATCTTCCCCATGCCTCCAATTCTCACCTTCAAACAGCTGCCAAACCTTAAACAGACCATGGTTCACGGCAAACTACCCAAGCTTTCGGGAAAACATTGACCACAACACCATTTAACCGTGTCATGGCAACCTCTGCAAGTCCTGCCAGATCATTGACATGGACACTACTATCACATGTGGGAACATGACCCACCACGTGCACAGCAGATACTCATGTGACTCAGCCAATGTTGTCTATCTCATACGCTGCAGGCAAGGACACACACGTGAAGTATTTAATTCAAGATGTTTGTGCAGTTGTAGATATATTCTGTTTTGCTCAAAAATTACAGCTGACCCCAGTTTAAAACATAGACAGATTGTAAGCAAGACCTCATACACAAAATGCATTGTCTGACCTGAGATGTCACCTCTTGTATACATTGATAAAGCCTTTAATTATTTCGGAACAATGACATGACAGGAATCTGGATTTTGTATTTTAATCAGTAGTCTCCTTCCTAACTGATTAAAGATACAATGAGAGGTGGCCAGTTTTAGGGCTGTTACCTTTCTGCTTATAAATTCTGTATCTTATATACTCTCTCTCACACACTAAGCTGAGAAAGGAGCTGAGCTCTGAAAACTTGTGTTTTCAAATAAACCTGGTGTCGTGTCATTTTTGATTTTGTTTTCTGTCTGTTAGCCTGTCACTGATCCATGCCAGTATATTACCTCCTATTCTATGTGCTTTAATTTTTCTAACCAGCCTCCAGTGAGTGATCTTATCAAAAGCCTTCTGCAAATCTCAGGACATTACAGCTATTGATTCTCCTTGTATCAATTTTGTTCTTGGCATGTTCAAAAGAATTGTTCAACAAGTTTGTCAAACACTATTATTTCCCATCCACAGATCCATGCTGATGATGCACAATCAGATCATTATCAAGTCACATTCAGAACCTTTACAATAGATTTCAGCATTTTTCCTGCTACTGATGTGAGGCTGACAGGTTTCTGGTTCCCAGCTTTCTCCCTCATTCCCTTAAATAGTGGGGGAACATTGATTCCTGTGGATTGGAAATTCACATTCAGGAACCTATAGAATTTTAGAAGATAATCACCATTATATCAATTATCTCTACAGCCACCTTAATACTCCTGGATGTAGAATATCAGGTCCTGGGGATTTTATCAACTTTCAGGCCCATTAATTTCTCCAATATGATTTTGTTGTACGTGCCAACTTCCTTCAACTCCTCATTCTCCCTAGACACTTGGGTCTCTACTTCTGGAAGATTTCTTCCCCCGTGATAACAGAAAAGTAGTCATTTTGCTTGTCCACCATTTCTCTGGCCTCCTTTATAACTTTGCCTCACAATGGAGCCACATTTATTTCAGCCAAATGTTCCTTGTTTACACACCTATAAAACTTCGACAGTCCTTTGTTTTGCTAGATTGTTTTCATATTCTATTTTCCCTTTCCTTATCAGTTTCATGGTCTTTCTTTGCTGTGTTCTATACACCTTACATTTATTAATATTTCTGGCCATGTTATAAGCCTTTTCTTTTAATCTTGTACAATCCTGAACTTCCTTTGTCAGCCACAGTTGACTGACCTATTTGAGTTTTTGTACCTTGATGAAATGTACAGTTGCTATAAAACACATAAAAGCCCTTTATTCTCATGTACATTTAAAAACCCTAACCCTAATATACTTTTTAAATGTATTTTCGCAATGCACCCCAACCACTTTGTGCTTCACAATTTCATTTAAATGTAATACCTTTGCTTCACAATCAACTACTTCATTTTCAAGCATAGTGTAAAATTCTATCACATTGTGGTCACCCATCCTGAGATTGTTAATTAGCAACTTCTTATTACATAATACTAGATGTAAAGTAGCACTTCTTGTAGTTGGCTCCTTAACATTTTGCTGTAGAAAACCAGCCCTAACGTGCTTTAGAAAATTGTTATAGATATAGAAAATCTATAACTAAATCCAATCAAAGTCTGCTATCCCTAGCTGTTTCTTACCTCCAACCAAACAGATTCCATATTCTTCCAGTCTGAGGCCCTCCCTTACTAATGTACTGATCCCATCCATTATTATCAGTGCAACTCCACCTTGTTTTCCTTCATGTCTGTCCTTCCTAAATGTTGCATATCCTTGAATATTCAGTTCAGTTGCACAGGAAAATATTAATAAAGTCAAATGCAAGTCCCTTACACAGTCAGAAGCTGGAGAAATTATATTGGGGAGAGAAAGAAATGGCAGAAGAATTGAACACATACTTTGGTTCTGTTGTCACAAAAGAGAGCACAAATAACCTCCCAAAAATATTAGGGAACTAAGTGTCATTTTGGAGGGCAGAATTGAAGGAAATTAGTATGAGTAAGAAAATGGTGCTGGGAAATTCAACAGTTAATGAATAACAAGTCACCAGGGGCTGAAAAATCCGAAACCCAGAGTAAAACAAAGTGACCCTGAAAATATTAGATGCATTGGTGATCAACTTGGATGGCAAATAGATCCTCACTGTTTAACAAGGGAGGTAGAGACAAAACAGAGAATTATAGACCAGTTAACCTGACATTGGTAGTGAGAAAATGTTGGAGTTTTTCATAAAATCTGTAATAACAAAACATTTGGTTAGCATTAATGGGATGGGACAAAGCCAGCTTGGGTTTATTAAAGGTAAATCATGCTTAACAATCTACTGCAGTATTCAGGAAGTAACTAGGAGAATAGACAAGGGACAACTAGTGGGTGTGGGGTAATTGGATTTACAGAGGCTTTTGATAAGAGTAGTGGGCAAGATTAAAGCACATGGGATAGGGTTTATATATTAGCATGATTGAGAATTGGTTGACAGACAGGAAACAGAAAATGGCAATAAATGGATCTTTTTTGAAGTGGTAAGCAGTGTTTAATAGGGTACTGCAAGAGTCAGTGCTTGCACCCCAGCTATTCACAATGTATAGAAATTATTTGAATGCGTAAACCAAATGCAACATGTAATGACACAAAACTGGACAGGATTGAGAGCTGTGAGGAGTGTGCAAGGAGGCTTCAAAGTAATTTAAACAAGTTGATTGAATGGGCAAACACGTGAAAGATTCTGCACAAAGTCGTTAAATGTGAAATTGTATATTTCGCTGTGAGAAAAGTATTATTTAAATGGTGATATATTGAGAAATGTGGATGTACAAAGGGATCTCAGTGTCCTTGTACACCAGTCAATAAAACCGGACAGGCAGGTGTAGCAAGCAATTAGGAAGGTATATTGGCTAAAATAAAGGCCAAGGATTTGAGTTCAGAATAGAGATGTCTTATGGCAGTTATACAGGGCCTTGGTGAGACCACACTGAAGTATCGCATGCAGTTTTAGTCTCCCTACCTAAGATAGGCTATACCTGTCATAGTGGGAATGTGGCAGAGTTCACTAGACTTATATTGGGGATGACAGGACTATCCTATAAGGAGAGATTGGTTCAACTGGGTCTATTCAGTACAGTTTAGAAGCATCTGATTGCAACATATAGAATTCTAACAAGGCTGTACAGACTAGAGGCAGGGAGAATGTTTTCCCTGTTTGGGCAGTCTAGAACCAACGAACAGTCTCAGGATATAGGATTGACCATTTAGGACTGAGGTGAGGAAACATTTCTTCACTCAGAGGGTGGTGAAGCTGTAGAGCTGTAGAATTCTGTACCAGAGAAGGCAATAGATGCCAAATCACCGAATATATTCAAGAAAGAAATCGATAAATGAGTTTACAGGCATTGAGGGGTACAAGGAGAAAGAGGATCTGCCATGATCACATTGAATAGTGGAGCAGGCTCAAAATAGCTACTCCTGCACCCAGTCTCTATGTTCCCAGTACTGGGTCACCATATTAGTCGTGGTTCTGTGATGGCAATTAAATTGTACCTGTGTATCTTCATTTGTGCCTTCAGACTGTCTCCCTTATTGCAAATGTAGCATGTGTTCAGGCAGTGTGCCCTTAACTTGTTTTTGTCTGTTTGAAATAATTCCACTTTCGAACCATATTTGATGTCTGCTTCATTTATTCTTTCTTCTAGACTCCCTAGCATCTTTGACTCTCTCTTACCAACTTTTCCAATTTGAGCTACCCTTTGGGTTTTTTAAAAAAAGAAAATCAATGCAATTTTAATTTTAGACATTCAAGATGGTACAACTCACCTAAAATATTTTCATTTCTCAACAACACACTGTTATAGATTTCAGTCTCTCTGAACCAAGATCTTTCATCTCGGGAAGAAAATATCTTGACTGCCACGTTTTCCCCTTGCCACTGACCCCGCCAAACCTCTCCAAAGCGTCCCTTGCCTGTGAAACAGAACACAAAAGAAATGCCAAATTACATTAAAAGAGAATTTGTACACGTCAACACGTTCCCAAAACAGCACCTGACTATCATACTGATAACCGGTTGCTTGAATAAATTCACTCAGTGGAAGATGAGAAGTGAAGGCATGGAGATACAAGAGCTCAGTGACATTAAAGGTCACCTCCCGGCTCTGCTTGTGTTTTGCTTTAAGCTTCAGTATTCTCAGAAAATCACTAAGCCTTGTATCCTCACTGCCAGAACATTAAGTTTGCATTTAAAATCATTCCTAACGTGCCCTGATCAGATAACAGGAAGGAAGGAAATTCTAAAGGAGGCAAAATAACCATAGATTTAAAAAATAAGGTCAGACAGCATCCGAGAAACAGGAAAGTCACAGTGACTTGGTGACAATAAGGACTGCAGATGCTGGAAGCCAGATTCTGGCTGAAATATCTGAATCCCAGAGTACTAAACAAAGTAGCCCTGGAAATATTGGATACATTGGTGATCATCTTCCAAAACGCCTTAGACTCTGGAGCAATTCCACAGATTAGAGGATGGCTAACGTAACTTCTGTTTAACAAGGAAGATAGAGACAAAACAGAGAGTTAGAGACCAGTAAGGGGGAGCCAATGGCCTAGTGGTATTATCACTGAACTATTAATCCAGACACCTGGATAACATGCTGGAGACCTTGGTTCAAATCCCGCCACGGCAGATGGTGGGATTTGAATTCAATAAATATCTGGAATTAAGAATCTAATGATGACCGTGAATCCATTGTTGATTCTTAGGAAAATCCCATCTGGTTCACTAATGTCCTTTAGGGAGGGAAACTGCCATCCTTATCTGGTCTGGTCTGGTCTGGTCTGCATGTGATTCCAGACCTACAGCAATGTGGTTGACTCTTAACTGCCCTCTGGGCAATTAGGGATGGGCCAGAAATGCTGCCTAGCCGGCGATGCCCTCATCCCATGAATGAATAAAGGAAAAAAAAAGTTAATCTGACATCAGTAGTGGGAAAATGTTGGAGTCTACTATAAAATCTGTAATAACAAAACATTTGGTTAGCATTAATGGGATTGGACAAAGCCAGCTTGGGTTTATTAAAGGTAAATCATGCTTAACAAATCTACCGGAGTTTTCAAGAAGTAACTAGGAGAATAGACAAGGGACAACTAGTGGGTGTGGTTTAACTGGATTTACAGAGGCTTTTGATAAGACTAGTGGGTAAGATTAAAGCACATGGGATAGGGGTTTATATATTAGCATGATTGAGAATTGGTTGACAGACAGGAAATAGACAATGGCAATAAATGGATCTTCTTTGAAGTGGTAAGCAGTGTTTAATAGGGTACTGCAAAAACCAGTGCTTGCACCCCAGCTATTCACAATGTATAGAAATTATTTGAATGTGTAAACCAAATGCAACATGTAATGACACAAAACTGGACAGGATTGAGAGCTGTGAGGAGTGTGCAAGGAGGCTTCAAAGTAATTTAAACAAGTTGACTGAATAGGCGAACATGTGAAAGATTCTGCACAAAGTCGTTAAATGTGAAGTTGTATATTTCACTGTGAAAAGAGGTATTATTTAAATGGTGATATATTTAGAAATGTGGATGTACAAAGGAATCTCAGGATTCCAGTCTGACCTGCTGTGCTTTTCCAGCCTCACACCTACAGACTCTGGCCTCGAGCATCTGCAGTCCTTATTGCCTCCAAAGAGTTAAAAAGAAGTTTGGTTTTACGAAAAGGTAATTTTCATGGATAGTCTTTCTGCTGTTTCTATAAAAAAAAAATCTGCTGGTACTCTGGATTTCTCATATTTGGTCATTGCTTTCTTAAACCTCTCTTCACAACCAATCCTAATAGCAGCTTGCATTCTGCAGACACCTCAACACAAACCATGGCCTCTTTCAGTGCTGCATCGCTTGACTTGTGACGGGACAATAGAAATTCCTTTCACATACTCTGGGACGGAGGAAGGATTTTTTAAAGTTTTTTTGAGATGCATTTTGAGGTCCATTAATGTACCTCTCACAGAGAGCTCTGGTATGTCAGAAGTTACAGTAAACCACTCATGGTGTTGATCATCTAGAAGCCAATAAATATTTTGAAGTTACAGATTTCATAAAAATGACAAAAGTAGTCTTTGTACAATAACTCTTGCCTTGTTTGAAACAGTAGATGACTGTAGAATTGGCATGTCTGCTTTTCTTTAGCAGGAAACAGGGCAGCTTTACATTTGTAGTCGGATTTCTGAACACTGACTGTAACATTCTTGAAAATAAATAATACTTCATTACACAGTCACCCTCATCTGTAAACTAACTTTAGTTTCGAAATTTTAAGTTAACTTGATAAAAATGTTTTAGTGTGATCCAGGGCAAAGAAAAAAACCCCCACATAGTACAAAAAAAGGACTGCTCTGTTTAACCACCAGATGGTGCACTTCACCACCAGTCCTGAAAGCCCAGCCCTCCAAAACCCATATCCTATTCTTTGATCGTAAAAGCTTTGAAAAGAAAAAATATATCAGAACAAAATCAGGAAAATCAGAATATCAGAAGCCACCAACCTTCATGGCCATTCTACCCTCTCGAGAATATGTGCCAGTGAGGACCAGAATTATCAGGAATAAAACCCTTTCCCAAATCATTAAAAGCTTTGGAACCTTTGGCTGTGATTTTAATGGAGGGCTTTTCTTTTGGCAGGTGAGTTTTGATATCGTTTCCTTCTGCACCTGAATTGTGAACAATGTATTTTTAAACTCTGGAATTAATTTGAATGCCATAAACTGACTTCGCAACAATTTCAGGCAGAAATGCTGAAAAACTTCCCACTGAAGAGCTGTGGTATGGGCCATGCCCTAGGAGTTCCTACAATCAGAGTTGGCGGTGGAAGCAGAATGAGATCAACGCAGGAAGATTTTCAATTTCACAAGAAGCTCAGTGCAGTATTCCTGCTTCAACTGGAATCCACAAGGAAATAAAAGCACATCTTTGGGTCTAATATAGTGCCAAGTTGAACTGATGATTATTTCCCAATCAGGACTCCAAAGTTCAAATTTCAGTCAAAATACATATTCAATTAAGGATGCGCGGGGGCCCTAGCTTCCTGCCACTTTGACAGATAGATAAAATGCATCAGGCTCAGCAGTTTTAGGATGGGGAGGTAGCTTAGCAATTTTAAACTACCTACCTGTTCGTGCTCTTTACTTATAATGTAATAATGTAATTTAGTTTAATAACTTCTGTGGGTTGTAACCGCTAGCTGTAAAGGGTTAAGTTAAATTCATTTGTATATTCTTAACAATTCACATGAATCCCATCGGTTTGTCTACATCCACAGCCCATGACTGGATTTGTTTCATTGTTGAAAAAGCATTTTACAAGCAATGAAAGCAGGAATCCAAGATTAGACTCTGGCTTTTTTAAAAATTCATTTATTCATAGGACGGAGGCATCATTAACCAGGCCAGCAATTATTGCCCACCTCTAATTGCCCAGAGAACAGATTAAGAGTTAACCAGGTCCAAGAGTTCAGATAGCAGTTTCCTTCTCTGAAAGACATTCATGAACGAGATGGGTTTTTCCCAAACATCAACAATGTTTTTATGGCCATCCTTAGACTCCTGGTTCCAGATTCTGATAGAATTTGAATTCTATCAAACACAGGTCCCCAGAACATTACCTGGGTTGCTGGATTAATAGTCTAGTAATAATCTTTAGGGGAGGTGATGACCTAGTGGTATCATCACTGGATTGTTAATCTAGAGACACAGGTAATATTCTGGGGATAGCAGGAACTGCAGATGCTGGAGAATCTGAGATAAC